TCACTCCTTCTGGTCGACAGCCAGCGTTCAGTCTTTCCGACGTACCGCGAACCTCAAGTGCGTTGAAAAAGATAAATATGATTGAAGCTGGCTGAGTTGAGTGTCCGCCGAATCATGATCAGCTTTGCGGTAGGACAGACATACTCAAATGTGGTACACTAGTTGAGGGTCAACCCGTGCGGTCACATCATCCCATTTAAAACAGATATTAGCGAAAACCTTTTTCATTTTGATTGTTGTGTATTTAGGCCGGAGGGTGTGCCATGTTCCTTTATAAAAAGCAAACGTTCACCATTAATTAGTTAACAAAGCCTTTTTCAATTCTCCAAGTTTACTGGCTAGCACTTCTCGATTGTGCAGGCGAAAAACTCTGCAGAACAGGTTTCCTTTCAATCGGACGGGACTGATTTGTTCAGCTAGCCATTGATATAGTCTGTGCTGAGACGAGTTAGTCATTGAGAGAATCGTACGCATACGGAACACCAGTTAATAATGAATCTGTGTTAAAACCATTTCTGTGTGAATCAATGTTCACATTTGGTGTTCTTCTTTAAACATTCCAACTTATTCAATATGCGTGCACCATTGATTGAGATCATGCGAAATTGATGACCAATATGAATTCTGTTAGTAATTGTTGCTTGATTTATTCAATGCATCAAAAAGGATGTTTCCAAATTTTAATGGGTTTTGATTTCAGATTCCATTCTGAAACGACTTATTACTTCTACAGGACAAGCGTAAACGTGGTTATCAGGCCACTTCTGTGACGCACACTGTATACCAGTTCACCTGCATTTGGGATGACGCATACAGACACAACAAAACGTAAACGAATGGCCGACCACATTTCAGACAACCCATATCCGATATTCAGGCGGTCAGAAGGAACCCGAGGCAACACACCATCTCATGACAACTAAACATAATGGATTTCGCTTCATCTTTCAAGCCACTGTTACGAAACCACAATGGAATACTTTTAATAATTAGATTGTCTGCCAGAATAGGTCATATTGGTTTGGCGCATTCAGTTTACTTGCTATGGAGCTATAGACCCTTTGTTTTTACTTTCAATAGGCCCTATCCAACTAAACACGTTTGTTCAGTAAGATTTGTGAGCCCAACGCACTACGTGTGCGTGTCTGTTTGGTTTATATTGGTGATCGGAGAGATCAAACGAAATGTCGGCATCTCACGACATACGTTTCCTTTTGGTTTTGACCTAATCGAATAAGGGGAACTATTGTTTTATATTTGGATGCAGCCTATTGAGTTCATCCATCAGTAGTCTAGTTTCTTCCAAACTTTCTGTGATAATAACGGTGTCGTCGACGTATATTTTGCGCAGTATAGCACGCTCCAAAAAGTTTTCTTGCTCTAGGGCTTCCACGACACCATCGAATCGCATGTATACAATTCTTTGAAAAACGAAAGACATTGGTTACGCAAAGCAGCAAGAGAAGCACAAACACAGATATCGGTAGACTCAATCGAATCTGTTCTTTCTCGATGAGATCGCAAATTATGTTTTATCACTTCGCAAATTGATGCATCGAATGAGGCTGTGTTACCCTTCAAAATATCCACCAATACTGAATAAATTTGACCCAGTTTTCAAATAAATCAAAATAGTCGTCTGGGATAGTCTTCATAAATTTCCACACTTGGATAAGTCGTTACATTACATCCGATGTTCCAACCACTTTACAGAGATCATTTCTTACAAAATGTAGATTTTCATCTGCTTTAACAAACCCGGAAAACTAAAATCCTTCGGGTGTTTTAGCTATGGCTAATGACGTTCTGTGTGTACAAAGAACACAGCTATGTATTCTTTATCGGTGACCATAAATCGTCCCCCAATTCTCGTTACCATTTCGTTCCTAAACCATATAGGGAACGTCTCGTCGTTCGCAGATCAGAACAATTATTCTCACCTTTCACTGCTAATCGAATATTTGGATTTATTAACAGAACAGCAGCATTATCATTGCAGTGTAATACAGTGAAGCGAACTTCACTGATCACTACCAAACTCATAGTGCATACAAGGTAAGTGAGAATGTGTAAGTATTGGGTCTACTTTTAGAGACGGTGAAAGAAAGCGAACCTCTATGGTCAACACAGACAGCACAGTACAACTGTGCATTCACATTATTTCAAGCATACTGGGCTGATAAGATGTGACACCATGATCGCCATTGCTGCCGTGACCTTCAGTGTCGCCAACCAAGCGGTTTCGGAGTCTTTTGGACCCCAACCCGGAAGACGAGAGACACTTACTCTACCTAATCGTTCTATGCATTTCTTCATGCCTTGCCTCCACGGGGCTTTCTCCAGCCTGCAATAGCAATAGGGATTAAGGCGTGGTTGGGGACCGTTAACTTACTAACCCGCTCATTCCATCCCACTTGGGCCAGACTACGTAAGCACCGAGTGTCAAAAACTACTAGGTGATGGAGGTCTTTCATTTGCAAATTCAAGGTCTCACAACCGTAAAGCAGAACTGATCGTACAGTGGCGCAGTATCAGTTCAGTTCAGTTCTTACAACCATTAACCCTGCATTTTCGTGTACCGGTTTTAATAGCCCGTTTGGATAAAAAAGGGCAGAGTGAAGATTAGAATGTTGACAGCAGATTCTAGTGGAAGATAGTGCATTTATATCGACACGCGTAGTATACGCGACTTCTCAACCTCAGTGAGATGTCACGTCATCCCCACAGGTGTTTACGTCCTGTGTACGCATCTCGAGCCTTGGAAATGCGGGCGTATATCTCCTTTGATACGCTACCGTCGTTGATCAGGCAACTACGACAAGCAGTCAAATTCAGCTAATTCCTGACCGTCTAGTTTCAGAGCAGAACTTGGCGATACCCAGTCCTGTAGTATCATGCAACTTCTGTCACTCGAACTTTATTCCTACCAGAAAACCCCTCCAGCGAAATCGTTTTCGAACGCCACGGTTAATTTTATCCATTTATTCTTGAACTCCACCCCTACGTATTCTTTCCCAGACCCCCTCATTCTTGAAACGATTCACCGGCCCTCGTTTTATCACTGCCAGAGCGATTAGATAGATATATCTGATCTCTCAATACTAGCCTAGCAAATAATCAACCCTGACTTTCTGTTCAACTTCTCACGGGTTTAGGAGTTTAACCGTGGCAACTGTAATATTATTCCTTTGATATACTGATCTGCGGCCTCAATTTTGGGTAGAAAACGTTCAACGAAAAAAAAATTGATCTAATGTGTTGGCTGTTATGAACTCCGAGGATTTATGACCATTTTAGAACAACAAGATTTGTCAGTGCTAACTCCAGTCTGTATGTCAATTTGATCACGTCACACTTACAGACAAGGAATGTGCCGCGTGATCTCTGAGCCAGTACACCCCCCCCCCCNGATGATGATATGAACGGTTATTTTTGCGTCATTCATTGGACTAAAAGTCAAGGAGACAGATAGCAACAACTAGAGGGGAATCAGCAGTGCAGGCAATAGGGATTGCATATCCGTTGCTCGGATCAGAATTAAAAGTTTCATAGAAGGTAATTCGAGAATGTTGAATTCGAACAATGGAAATGTGTCATGACAGTGTGTTCCTGAACTGAATGTGTCCACTGTGTAGCCAGAACTGCAAAGAGAGAGAGAGAGCACGCTCAGTGCAACTTCCGTGGTAGACAGCTTAGCCGTTGTGGATTTGAATACCACGAGACTTCGTGGTTCGTTAGAGAGCTAGCTATGAGAGGGTGAACGGTAGGCTTTTGTGACTACGGACTCACCCTTTCTGATATTGACCACACACACACACAACGAAGAAAGTAATAAGAAACCAAATATCCTGCTGATAGTCGGAGTGCAAACCAGATACTTTTCAATTCCCAGAATATCACTTGAACCACAAAATTTATTCCACTGTTGTTGTTGTTGACGAACAATGATCAAATTTACACACACAAACACATCAAGTAAAAGCCTCAACGACGATACTAAACAAGCAAATCCAGATGATGTGTGCTGCTGCTTCTGGCTCATTGGTTGTGACCTACAGTTCGCTTTAAAATTCTGAACTGTCAGGTTTGATATATTCGAAAGTATAGGGACGGGGTTAAAAGGAAAGGACTGTAAAAACAGGACAAAACTACTATCCCGCAAACAAAATAGTGACAACAGTTTTTGTGAACACCGTTGACCGTAACAAAATTGATCTATAAAATGAATAATTGGAAAGCTAAGCACAGAGAACCCTCGCTTGTGCGTGATATACATTGATTCAGTTGTGGAGGAGTTAAGCAGCGCCAAGGGAAGGAGACAGTGTCACACAGTAGACACGACTTGATTTAGATTTGTCCACATTCCACTGCGGACTGTGATTGAAACCTAGTGGGAAGGGAATGTACTGAGAACAAATGATTGTTTGTAATCCCACGCAGCGGAGGCAGAAGTACAATAAGATCCACATTGAAGCTGCTCAAACCCGGTAGAGAGAAAAGAGTATGAACATGGTAATCGACATGGGATGAGCCCGTCCTTGAGTGCAATAGAGCGAACAGTAAGATTGTAAATCGGAGGCGATGATATACTCCAAGAATCCATCATGATTTCTGTTTCATGTGAAGTTCATGCTCATGCAGAGAAGGTGATGGAGAGAAACAGTCGGAAAGAGAGAGAGAGAGAAAGAAGGGTGTGTGTGTGTGTGTGTGCGTGCGTGGGTAGGTGGATGAGTGTGATCGTTCTGTCAGGGAATTGGTGGGTCATTTGTACATTGGGATAGAGGTGGGGAAAAAGCACTACAAAACTGTTTGTACTGTTTTCAGTTAAACAGTGGCGCTTCTTAAAATAGAACCCCGGGTTTTCATTGTAAGAAAATATAAAGGCACACAAGAATAGGCATAGAAAAACTGATAGAAACTCTAAGAAACAGGAAAATGGAGATCTTTCATGATTCATGCATGATGATTTCAATTGAAAGTGTGGAATATACACCTGAGAATTAGCGAAAACAGGAGATGTCTGTATCGCGCAGAAGATAATAGAATTCGAAATATTTCCGAGCACGTTCGATACCTGATAGGTAGAAATGAAGAGGAAAAAGTTGTAGCGTGAACATATTAGATGGAATGAAAGTTCAACACATCTGTCAAGCTAATTAAATATATAAATTGAATCTGAATAGCTAAGGTCGATGAGAAGTTGACGTAACAGGGGACGAAAACATGATGTTTTGGTTAATATTAGTATACGTCCTCAAAAGAGATAACGTTGTACTGGGGATGCCAATTTTTACTATATTTCTTAGGCGTTTCATGGGCTAATCCATGAAACTGAATTACGTTCACGGAAGAGAAAATCGTTTCAAATTAAAAAGCTGCGGAAAGCCAAGGTTGTGTAGTACCGAAAATACGCCCCGAGGTTACAAGTAACTCGCGGCTAACCGTGGATAAGATGGTTTACTAAACATGCCCAGTGCAACTTGTCCAGTTCCAGTTACCGAACAAGGCCGCGCAGAAATGGTGAATGTCCGCTCGTCCATAACGACACTAAGATTTTGCAAACTCCCGTTTGGCTGTGCACAAGCCTTAAGAGCACTCTTGAACAAGACCCCCTATGGATCGGGTGATCAAGTAGAAGTAAAACAGACCAGAACGCAGACAACATTGAATGTTTTACATCATTGAAAATGTACTCAACATACATAAACGTGAGTAATTCTACGTCGTACACTTCATCCGGTTTTTTACGACTTCTCTCCGTTCCACACCTACANCCTTCTATTGAGAACTTCAGACATCAGTGTTAGCCATAGTGCCTTAGCTGGTAATGTTCAACCAGTAAGGGTTACCGACTTGTTGTGCAGGAGATCAGGTGTCGGAAACCCACCTTCCAAATACCGACTGCCTATGCTCAGTGGCGGAAATTCATCACGAACAATCCCAATAACGCTAGAAGTATGTGCATACAAACCTCCAGATTTTAGGTTACCGGTCGGCGGCAGTTAAGCGCAATGTCCCATTGTGATTGCCCGCACGATGCAGTAAAGAATTTGGTGGGAACGGTGAAAAGTCCTATTTCATCGGCAAGCCAGAAAACGATATCACAATTTGAAGAACTCCTGAAAAATGTCCTACCAAAGCGCGAGAGTGCCGTGCACCAAAACTTCAAAGAAAGATCGATGGAACCGAGCAAACCGCGAAGATTGCGAACACCAGTGCGATGTATTACTTCGGCGAACGATTCACCTGATCAGCGACAAAGAATCCACCAAATATGTTCAAACAGCTCTACAAGTTCAAACGATGAATTCACTGAACCTGCATCCTCAAGAACAGAATCCAGAAAACAGGAATCCGGTGATTCTGAAGTGCCTAACGGCGAGATTACTACACTTGACCTACAAAACTCAATTCCAGAAAGAATTCAAGTCGGCAAAGTTCTTTTGAGAGGGGAGAGTTGTGGTGATCCAGGCTACGTGAAGACGCCTACTCTGGAGAGGCGCGTTACAGTTTCAGGACATTTGCGATCAATCAAATTTGAATGCTGACGTCAATGACACGCGTACGGCTTCTGACTACACGCCATAGGCGGTTTGTGCCAGCCAATCCGAGACAGTGCAGACAAAACCAGAATTATGGAAACAGTATTGCAATACGATGGGGGAAACCTAGATAACCAATGATCTTCTTTTGTACATATTATTTAATCGCCGTGATTTCTTCCAGTAAACGAACTACGAACTACCATTTCTGCGGCCTTTTCCTCGCATCTCCGTCACGTGGGATATTGCGAGCTCCTGCTATTGCGGTCCAGTGCTTCCGTAATCCAGTCCGTGATAGCTGATCCTAGATTCGTGTCTTGTGATTCCTATTGCGTGGTTCGTGTACCGAATTCCATGCATACTACTACTACTACTACTACTACTACTACTACTACTACTACTACTACTACTACCACTACCACTACTGCAATCATTACAAGTGGTCAGGTGGTAACGTCATCAAATTACCACCTCGGGGGACGTGTGTTCGAACCCCACCACGATCGCCTGACTTTCCACATGGCGGCCCTTTAATTGGCCGCTTCTCCTTCTTGAAAATGCTATTATTGCGTGTTTAATAAAAACGAAGTAAAATTAAAAAGAAAAGAAAGAACCATATCACTTAGAGTCTGTAACCATTGGTTACGCTGATTCCAAGGTCCTCGTCCAAAGGGCCCATCGCGGCCCACATGAGGGAGACTCCTAGCCAGGGTTTTCATACCCTTATACCAGGTCTAAGTACGACAAATTTTAGCTTTTTTCCTACCAACTATCTGTCTCCGCAAACATCGCACACCGTAACAACCTATTTGGGAGCATACATAACACACTTCAACCAACGCAACCTCTGAAGGTCGAACACTTGCTCCAGGAGGCGGTCGCGATCATCTCAAAGTTTGCGTCGAACCTCAGCAGTCCTTATCCGGGTGCACTACCAGACTCGTGCGATGCGGTGCAGACAACGGTGTTCGAACTCCGCAAAAGTTTAACGGCGAACCGAGTCGAACACAATGAGAACAAGGGGCAAAAATGGTCGGTGGAGAAGAGCACATATGTAAACAAACGGATACAAGTAGAAGACTACCACTTCACAAGCACTGATATCACCTCGGCTGGTGATAAAATGTTTGCAAACAAATTGCCAATCTCGGGGAACAGGCGAATTAGAATTCAGTTCACCCGAGCTACGAGAAGCGATTTTCGATACTTTGTCAACAGTATCTTTTTACCTTGTTTCCTTAATGGCCAAGTCTCTTCACCGTAAAGCAGAACTGGTCGAACTGCTGCAGCATACACTCGACTCTTCATAGATAGCCGGATGTCGCAACGGCACCACAAATTACTCAATTTTGACAAAGGTCCATTGATTCCTCAATAAGCGCGCTGACACTACATTTTTAGTGCTTGTGCAGGGAGAGATAGAGCTGCGTAGATAGTGAACTTTGTGCCATTGCCCAGTCAGAGCGGGGTTAAGAGCTAGACCAGTGGAGTCCTGTAGTAACAACAGGTTATATCTTGAAGGTGCAAAACTCATGCGCCAGCCGCTGGTTCAATTGCGATTGGAAGTGCTCTGTTGAGCGTTTCAAGCGTCCCTCGGAACTGCATTCCGGCAAAATTAGTGCAATGAAATCCTAAATTTTCTCTTCGATTCTACCTTTCAACCTTTCCTGTCTTTTTCCTTATGTTCATCCAAATGGGCAGCCAAAAGACAGCAACCGAACAGCGCACGATAGTGCATCGTTCATGGTTGTAGAAACTGAAACTGTATTCCGGCATGCCACCGGATTAACCGAATCGCACTGTCTGTTGGGGTGAGTAACGCGGATACATTCGAATAACTGTCAGGTGTTTAGGCTTTCGGAGAAGCGATCGAAAAAAGACTATATGCATCTGTCAGTTGTGTATTTTTCAAAGGTTTTACAATAATTTGGTTGCACAATCCGGAGATCAAGAAAGTTAATACAAACAGCTGCCAATAGAACGATGGGCTACTACTAAAACTCGAAACAATACAACCGTTGTCCGCCTCCGAACCTAATGAGCGTCTTAGTAAAACTGTTCCTACGACTGTCAGCCTTTATATCTGATGCGCAGTAACCGATTATGATACCTAGGTGTGAGGTAATTGATGAAACCAGCGGCACATTGGATTTATTAACT